GAGGTTTGGACTTCATCACCCATCTCAGCACCTCTTTGGGCCTGCCTCTGGAAAACCATGAGCTGGTGTTCCCCAAGCTAAGTGGTTCTTCTGTCAGGCTCTGCACCACAGTGAGAGAAATGAATGGGTTTTCGAAGAGGGAGGGCGTATATTCTTCACAGAGACAAAACTGAATGAAGAATTATGAAGAACGAATTGCAGACTGGTTGGCAATAGAGTTTGGATAATGATGGTGTGCAGCTGTGTGTGTGTATCGCTGTATGGATCGTGTCCAGTTAGAGCCTCTTGTGATGTGGTCTTTGCAAATCAGAAGTGTGGGATCATGAGAGGGGCGGGAGGGGTCCTGACTTGAAAACTTGTCTGTGTCTCTTTGGATGTCAGGTTCTTTGTGTGGCAGGGCGAGACCATGTTGTTGTCTTGCGAAACAGTGGGTTGCTGGAAAGCTGCAAGCGGCACTTGCTGCTGACAGGGAAGGGTGAATCCTTGGTGGAGAAGAGGAGCAGCAGTTCACGGGAGAGAGATCTGGCGAAGCTAGAACAGGAAAGACGTATGGCAGCTCGATCAGAGAGCTTCAGGCTGTGGCGCGCTTGCGTGAAGTATGGGCTCGATGTTTCCGTGTTCGCGGATTATTATGCTGCAGGGCTCTGCTGGTGTCTTGTTCCTCCTTGTCTACTTCGAGATGCAGACGCGCAAGTAGAAGACGGGGAGAAGAAGGGGCACGAGCATGGCGTTGAGGCTTGGGTTGATGGCCGGGAGGCATTTCTTTTACTAGAGGGGTTGGCAACGACACTAGCGCCCCTGGAAAGAAAAATCCAGAAGTCTAGACAGTCCAGCATTGCTGTCTCAAGGGACAAGTATGAGGAATGTAATCCAGAGGTAGTTCGGTGGCCATGGAGCGTAGCGCTCCCGTTTGTGCAAACGGCATGTGAATGGCTGCAGCCGCAAATCTTGGCGGAAGCGTTTCGGAGCGCGAGTGGCGGCCCTGGGGACGAGATACCTTGTCAACGACAGATAAAATGTCACACTTTTTCTGCTGCCAAACTGAGTGCGATTTCTGCAGTGCTTCATTTCCTTGCAACGGTCGTTGAGAGAGGATCTGTCGTCCACAATGATGGGGTTCCGGAGGAAGATTGTGTGAAAGAACAGGTCATGACTGCACACAATTGGTTGCCGTTTGCAGTCGTCGAAAAAGTACGCAAATCTCTTGTAGAGGGAGGACTAATCAGAGGGGAGGGTTTTGTTTCCACCGAGACGGAGGACAAGCTCTGGATTGCTCCACGGCTCTTGGCCGTAGCTGAGAGGGGAGAATCAGACTTGGCTAGTGCAGTGGCCGCCACATCTTGTTTGCGTGCTATCGTAAGGCTTACGGCTGTCATCACCAATGCCATGGGTGCGCAGGGAGTGGGCATGGAGGTGCTTCGTTCCAATCACAGTTTGCTCAACAGATTGTTGGAAACAAGAGGTTTAAGGAAGGTGACGGTAGAGGAGAGCCACAGTGGTGGCTTTTTGTGGGGACAGCAGAGTGGGGTGAACAGCAACACCAGGGGGGGTACGGCCCCGGGTGTAGGTTTCGGATGGTTCATCAAAGGTGGTGGACGACTCTGGACCGAGGGTGGGGTGCTGTGGCAGGAACGCGCTCGCCTTCTCGGTGAACTTCTGGTAGCAGTTGAGCCTTCAGATTTGTTGAGGAGCCGGTGCACTAAGCCGCCTTCTAGCGAGCTCAAGGTCGGCTGCGAGCTGTTGGACGCTGCGCTTGGAGTTTTGGATCTCATGGACCCCAGGGATAGAGTGCTTGTGCGACAAGTTGTCGCGCACGTCATTCTTTCAGAAGAATGTTGCAGGCTGTCGACGGATCAGACCAGGGACTATCTTGGCTGGCCGCCCAGCGCTACTAACGTGAGCGCAGGGATGGAGGTCGGAATTACTGCGGTAATCCGCAAAGCAATGATCAGACACTACATGAGGGAATGGCTGTCTTTGAGGAGAAAGCATAATAAAGGCGAGGAAACTGGACAGCAAAAGCGGGGGAATGCTGCTGCTTTGAACTCTGCCAGCAGAAGAGGAAGCATGCGGCTTGAGAGTATCAGGGAGAACTCTGAGGAGCAGGCAGACAGCCCCGAGCAGCCGATGAATGAATATGAATTGCGGGAAGATGCAGAGGCAGCTGATGGGCCAAGCAGAAAGAGGCTGATGCATGAGTGGATTAACCAGAGATTGCCTCTTCCATCGCATTGGATGCTTAGTCCGATGGCGATTGGAGCAGGTCTCATGGAGCTAGGGGCAAAGGATGTAAAGAAGATGGAGGAAGATGGCGGATTTGCATCCATAGCCAAGAATTGGGAGGAGATAAAATTCGCAGTGAAAGGCTGTCTGGTCATGATAACGGCGTTCGAGCGGCTTGTCCTTCGTTACACCAAACAGATTCCTTTCGCGAGAAAAGTGCATGCTTTGTCAGAGGCGTTCCTGATGGGACCAGACTTCTTCGCTGACGGTGATGTCAGGGCACTGCTGAAAGCATTGCAGGATTTGATATTTGCTGCCAATCGTAAGAAGGACGAAAGAGAGCAGGGCGACTACGATGTGGACTTTGCTGGGCAGGTGGATGCTGCGTACGAGCCGTTCATCGAATCTCTTGCAGAACATTTCTCGGAGACATCCTTTGGGGACGAGGTCTTTGCGCGACAGATTAGCATCTTGTTCCAACAAAAGGTGCTTGCCTTGCCTTTCTGTCTGTGCCTGTCGCCGTTCCCCTTAACGAACATCATGTAGGGTTATTTATACTTAACGATATTAAATTCAATTTAATTAATAACAAGGTTGAATGAACTTAGCTGAAAACCTGAAATTGAAACTGAAATTAAAACTTGTAATTAAGTTAAATTAACATATCGATACGACGATAGTGATCATCACTGATTCATCAGTACAGTGTGCTATGGCACTACAGATTGCTATTATTGTTATGTTTTAAACTTTTAGTAAGGTTATAAACTGCATTGTTGTTTGCCACTGGTGTAGGGTTATCAGCCAACTCGCAGATTTCATTTCAGGGATGCATCCATGCATGGGCCGACAGATTCGTTGCCCCGAGTTCTCTCAGCTGAGGGCATACTCACACGAGGACCTTCCTGGATATATATGACCGTTTTTTGTAACCGGCCTGGAGGCACCTGACCTCAATTACGTCCACAGAGATGCGCTAAAAGTCACAGTGCGAGAACACCGGTTCAATACCCTGATAGGTATCTGTGTGAAAAGGAGATGCACCCAGTTTATCGACACGTCTCTCGAAAGCAGACTGTCTGTCCATCGAATAACGCACCTGGGTGCTCTGTTTGAATGGAACGTGAGGGTATTGTTCTGCTGAATTTTCCACGATCTAACAGTATGAAGCTTCCTAGCAACCTTTTCCCATTTGGGCGCAAACATTTAAAAAAACTTGAAAAAAGTTCGAGAACTAAGAGAAGTGAATAAAAATTGGAAAGAACCAGACTGTGGAGAACTTGAATTGTGACGAACACGAACTCAATAAGCACCATGCATGAGTAGACGAAACTGAAAGCAGAAGTGACAAGTCGGTGATGACACCGATGAAAGAGTGCAAACAACGCTGAAGTCTCTTCGGTTACGAAATCCCTCTTCTCGCCTCCAATCGCTCAACTACAACAAAGTTTCTCTAATTCCAGACTCAAGTATGAACGCCTATACTACTGCCTACTGGTAGTTGAGCCTATCATCCACTAGCCGCTAGATTCTGTTGCGCGACTGCGCTGAAGATCTTCTTGCTGACCACCATATATTTCATGACTTGTCGGGGGAGAAGGAACTGGACTTATGCTCCCCAGAATGGATAAGAAGGAACCAGAAGGACCACTATTTGCAGAAGGAGGGAGGGGGGGGGAGGGGAGGGGAGGGAATCATCAGATGAGAAACTTAGAAAAACTTGAAAAAGTCTCTTTATTTCTTTTTTTTTCAAGAGGGTGCGGCGTAGCCCGAACTGTCGTATAATGGGGGGAACAGTTGGTGGGAGAATGACAAAATTGCCCCTGAAGGAATTTGATACCCCCGAAATGCCTCTGCCAGTGCGTGGAGGAGGGTCGCATGCTTGATCTGCACTGGGATGGTGCTGATGTCGAGGTACATTCTGAAAGGTTTTGCGAGATTTTGTCTCGAGAGATGCAGATTGTTTTTTGTTGTAAGGATTTGTCACCCTTGCGCAGGGACCATGCCAATCTTCTCTGTATGATTCCGATTTTGACAGATGTCCCAAAGGACTTTCTTTTTCTTTTTTGCTTCAAAACCGACGATGATATTGATGCCGGCAATTTGTTGGGCATGCATGTGCACAGGTTGCGCACAGGCTTCGCTTGACTCTTTGGTCTGTTCTGGCTGATGCGCAAGGACTGGCTCTTCTTCCACCTTTGGAGCTATGCTGTGGGCCTCCGGACGCCTATCTTTACCCCTCAGAGGTATGTATACCTGTCTCTACCCCTACCTGGACCCAGAATTGGAAATTTCCGATGTTCCGTACAGGGAAAGAGTAAAAATCATGGTTGCCAACTGGATGTCCGGATCCCGATCCAGACAGTCTGGGTCTGGATGTCCGGGTCCGTTGTCTGCTCTGGTGGGTCCGGATGGTGCAAGGAATATGAGCGAGAGGGATAGACAGAAATGCAAATTGCAAAATCACGCTGTAGTCCAGATAGTCATGTTCCAAGCGGAGAGCACAATGCAATGAGATACCACCCAAGTAAGTGCACTACAGTGAACCAAATGCCAATGTCGACACTCTCTGCCCACAGCAACATAGTATCCAATGTCGCTCCTCTCTGATTGGCGCTCGGCGCCCATCCTACACTTCTCAGCCTATAATGGACAACTCAATCAATCAATCAATCAATCACTCCATCAATCAATCAATCTGCATTAACCTAAGCCGTATGCCTCGTGGAATGTCTGAAGGCCTCGCCAGGCCGCACTCAGACCAAGGCCAAAAGGGGGGGAAAAGAACCCCACGTCTAGACTCAGGGCCTGGACGAGATACAATTGACTAAGTCAACTGTCGGGACCCAACAGTCAAAGTCCAAAGTGGACCCAGCCCAGGCCGCCGGTCAGACGCACACACTTGTTTGTATGCAGGTGCCCAGACAGCATCCGGACCAAGGGGAGATCTGCAACTGTACACAATCCAGGCCCTCGGCTGTGAGTCAATCTGTACGACTGTGGAAAGAGGGCCCGAGGCCAGAAAGCCTCGTCAAAGGCTACATAAGGCTGGGTCTCGAGGTTGTCAACATTCAGTCTTGCTATGCTGCTTGGCCGCTGGCTCGACTCTGACTGGACGCTGGCATTGACGCTGGCATTGACGCTGGCATTGACGCTGGCATTGACGCTGGCTTGACGCTGGCTGTGCACAGGCAGTGTGGACGACGACGCGGGACTGTGGCAGCATGCTGGCGCTTTCTGCTTTGTGCGCAAGGCATTGCTGATGTGGCTCTGCCACCTGTCTATCCTGCTGATATGGCGCATGCCACTTATCTGCATTGCCGATGACGCTTGCCACTTGTCTGCATTGCTGATGTGGCGCATGCCACTGATCTACTTTACTGATATAGCGCATGTCACTTATCTACATTGCTGCTGTGGCGCTGCCGCCTGCCTGCATTGTGTTGCTGATGTGGTGCTGCCACCTCTCTTCATTGATGATGTGGCGCATGCCACCTGTCTCTACATCTGACATGGCATTGGCCACGCTGTCTACATGAGGTCACTGGTTGCGACAAGGAGGGAGATTGGGATCTGTGGATGATTGGGATCGGGTACTCACCTGAGGTTGAGGTCGTTACCGTAATCTGCTGTTGTCTTCATGGTCTTCATGAGATAAGAGTGCCACATGGCACTCGGCACTTCTGCGTGATTAGGACTTATCATACTTGTTATCGTGTACTGGTTGATGACGTGGAGGGGAAGGGAAACCCAGAGAAGAAGTGGGGTTTGATTGGATTACTCTTGGGTGATCATTGATTATCTCTTCCGCCTTCTCCTCTGTCTATTCCCCTTCCACTCTCTTTGTTTAATGGTAATGAGATACTGTTTCAGATATCACTTCATGTTAACTGGAGACTTTGTGCAGATCTGAGACTACTTGTGCTTGACGTCTGATGGTTAACGGGCACCCTCATTTTCAGTCCCTGGGTAACGAGTCCAGAACTGAAATTAGGGTTTCGGGGTCAAATTTCTACGAATTGGTGGCAAGTTTTATTAAAATGACCCTTTGGTTTTCATATAAATGGCATGGCAAGTGGTCTGAAATTTTGGGTCTTCGCTAACCTTCTCTCTTGGAGAATTGGAATTTCCTCTGTTAAGAAATTTCTCAAGATTCTCTGTTAACCTTCTCTCCTAGGAATGGTTGACACAACTTTACTTGAGTGTCAGCGCCCCACTGGTGCACATGTATCTGCTGTTGCAGGTGCACTGCAGCACAGGCGCTGCTGGCACCTGCTGACACTACTGAAGCAGTTGTTGCATCTGTAGAAGCTGCTGCGGCTGCAACAGCAGCTGCAGCAAATGCTGCAGCGGTGTGTGTGTCTCAAGTGGAGTTATCTACTCCTGACACATGGAACAGGCGAGCAGTCTTAACTTCGCCTGATGGACTAGGGAGCCTACACTCGTGCTCTCTCAAGGAGTGTGGCCCCTGCTGCCTCTCCCTAGTCCATTCCTAGGACCATGTCGAAAGGAAGGCTATCCTCTATGAGGAGAGTCAGGGAATGGAGAGCTTTCTCCACTTTCCCATCCTTTTCTAGGCGAAAGTACACCTGGACTCCCTCAACGTAATCCTCGACTCGCATAGTGCGATTGTCTGCGAGGATACTGACTACAGGGTCTTCTAACTTTTGGACCTTCGGATTTAACTTCAGCGTCTGCAGCGCTTTTCTACTAATATAGCTGCGAGTGGCCCCATTGTCTATAAGGGCCCCGACTCCTCCTCTAAATGCCTCCTTCTTCATCTTGGCCCAGGCAGGCATCCTCTCCTTCAATTCTTTTGCCACGCCTGTGAGGGAAGTGCCTAGAGAGACTCTAACACAAGCAGTCTCTGGACAGCGATCTAGGCACTGACCAGCAACCTTTGCCATAGACACATGTGGTTTGGGAGTATCTATGTGGTGCGCGCACTCTTCTCCACATGGTCTAGGGATAGGGGCAATTGCGACCCCTACCTTGCGACCCCTACCGGCGGTATATTTAGGGCAATACTTGATGATGTGGCCCGGATCACCACAGTATATGCGCTGATCCTGGTCTATTTGCCTCTGCCAAACAGTCTGTTCCAAGCCCAAATCTTCCCAAGGGCTGCCCTATGGAAGACTAGGGTGCCATCCACCCCTCCTGTAAGGTGATCGATTAAAACTAGAGCGGTTTTGCGGGGGACCTTGACCCTTACCTCCCGCTTGGCGGCCTCCTCTACCACCAACCCCCTGATCGCCCTGTCCTCGACCACTGGAAGCCTGGCCCCTTTGGCCCTGGCCTCCTCCTCTACCCTGCGGCCTCCCCTCAGGCACGACAACGGTGTAAGTCCTCCCCTGACTATTGCGACTATCTTCTTCCTCTAGGCCCCACTCTATCTGCTCATAGGGGACCTGTTCCATACCACCCTCATCTAATGTAAGGATCAGGTGATCCTTGCCCTTAACCTGACCCGAGATGGTACGACCTTTCCACTTCTTTCCCTTATCAAGGTCATGCCAGAAAGTGGAAACTGGCATGGACTGCGCTTCAAACACCACTTCCCTACTCAAAGTATCGTAGGTCATGGTAGACTCTCTACTCTTCTCAAAGAAGTGTCTGCGCAACGACTCAGGCATGGCACGATAGAATAGGTTGACTAATTGGGTCTCAGTGACCCCATGATCAGGAACGGCGACCAACTCATCCATGACACCCTCGAGTGCCCTGGCGCTCCTCCATTGGCAGGAATGAATGGTCTGCAGTTTGTCAGAAGCTCTAACGCTTCGTGTGACATCTGCAAACCTTTCGCGCAATAATTTGAAAAACTCACTGAGAGGGGTGATTGCAGAATAGGCAACCATATCGTTATCACACTTAGCAGCGCGACAAAGTGACCGAGCGAAGCTCACTGCTTCGTCCTTGAGCGGATGGAAGGCTACGAGAACATGTTCGTCAGGAGATATTTTTTGAAGATGCACGCAGGAGTTCACATGTGCCTCCCAATTATCAATGTTCTCCTCCTCCTTCCCACTGTAGGAATCAGGGAACTTCACCTTAACAGGCTCCCTACGGGGACGAGCTTCTTCCTCTCTTGGTGCAGCCAACTTTGCGCCTTCAATGGCACCTGTGCAAAATCGCCCTATGCCCTCGAACCTCACCTGTACCTCAGAGCCCACGTGCATTACATTTCGTGTGCAAACTCTCTAAACCCCAATCGTATTGATCGCGTGGCTATATCCTGACTCCTCCCAAATTGGTATTGCCCCTCCTGAGCCTGCGCCAGGCGTTCTATGTTTCTCGCCATTACTTTCATTTTTCCCTGCCAATCTACCTGTGCCTCCATCTGCACCCTTAGTTGTTTCACCTCCTCTAGTTCTTTCGCCGCTTTACTTGCCGCCTCCATCTTCTTCTTCCTCTCCCTGGTCAGAAGCAACTTCCATAACAACTTTTTCTCCTCCTCTATCATCTGCCTTTCGAGGGGATCTTCCTAGACTGCTAATTCCTTAACAACCGCATCTTGTTCTTCCCTGGGAACATACAACATTGCCTCCTCCCTCCTCTTCTCCCAGAGACAGATTAGCAACCCATTCAGAAACTTTCTTCTCCAGCCAGGAATCCTCTTTCTTTGTGCCACTCGTCTCTCCTCTCTCCCTGATACTTCTTCTAATTAGGGGCACTTCTTCTTCCACCTTTTTCTCTTCTTCTTCTTCTTTTTCCTCCTCTGCTTTTAGCTTTTCTTCCTCCTCCTTCAGCCTTTCCAGCTCTTCCTCCAACCTCTTTTTCTTTGCGGCTTGCTCCTGCAACATGGCCAACTTCTTGGCCTGCTTCACTACCTCCTTCTCTTTTCTAGCCTTCTGCTCAGCCAAGATTCCTGCAGCCTCCTCCTCCTGCTCCAAGGTATAGGGAGTGGTACTAGCACCACCCCTCGTCTCTACTCTACACGTCATCGTGTTCCAAAATCCCAGAGGAAAGAGAAGACGCCAGAGGGTCCCCCATAGGGAGAACCCCACGAGCAAGCCGTACATAGGGTAATCGTCCATGGTGTCAGGTGCACGACAGGGACTGTCCCACTCCTCATCACTTAGACCTACCCATTAGACTGACGGACTGACTGTCTAAGGACTACAGAGCCTTATCCTTTGATCCAGCCAGGTTACCATGGCTGACGGAAGCTTTCGCCACCATTGTCCTTTACGATCCAGACCCATTGCCCAGCACCTGCGGTCAATCCCACCTGGCTTTCTCTCCGGTTCAGAACCCTGTCAACTACGGTCACTAGCCTAGACCTACTTCTAAGCTGTCAACGATGATCAAGAGGCATTTAAGGAGATCCCCCATAACTCCTCAGGAATTGTTTAACGTCGCAAACAAGACAACGCGATGAGCAAGTTCTTTCAAGACTTAGACAGCTTGTTGTGCAGCCCACAACTCAGATTTTGGGCCTACCGTGCCACACTGAGCAGCCCGCCGGTCTGTACCGGTCCTTGGGAGGGTTCGTGTCCTCCGGGTCAGTCAGTCGTCAGACACAGCCTTTAGCCCTACTCAGCCTGTGTGGGTTTGGTCAACAAAGCTCTACGACCTCATACACAAAGTTCCTATCACCTGGACAGAAGAGACTCCATGCAGAAAGAAGAGATAGACAGACTCAGCAAGTACCATGGGGTGAGTGCACATCCATAGGGCGAGGGAATAGGCTGTGGGTTTGGCGAGAATATACCAACTCCAGCTTGGTCAAATTCATGGTCAACAGCTCTGGTCAACGCCTTGGTCAACGCTCGGTCAACGCCGGTCAAACCTCCGCTCAACATTATGGTCAACCTCGGTCAACGCTTTGGTCAACGCCTGAGTTAACACCCAAGTCAACTTCGGTCAACCCTTGGTCAACGCTTTGGTCAAACCCCTGGTCAACCTCGGTCAACACTTTGGTCAACGACTGAGTCAACACCCAAGTCAACTTTGGTCAATCCTTGGTCAACTATTTGGTCAACCCTCAACTTGGCTATGACTGCCGACACTTTCTCTTTCTCGCACCCTCGCTTCTCTTTCTCCCTCCTTTCCTCTTTCTCACTTCCTTTCTCCTTCACCCCGGCTATGGCTTCTTTCTCCTTTGTCGTCCCTCCTTCCTCTTCCTCAGCTATGGCTTCTCGTTCCTCCTCCGTCTCTCCCTCCTCCTTCACTCAACTTCTCCCTTCTACCTCCGTGTTCGAGATCAGTGGCTACGGCCGCCTTCTTCCTTGGACCGCACAACAATCTTCTCTCTCTCTCTCTCTCTCTCTCTCTCTCTCTCTCTCTCTCTCTCTCTCTCTCTCTCTCTCTCTCTCTCTCTCTCTCTCTCTCTCTCTCTCTCTCCCCTCATCGTTCTCTTCCGTGCAGGCACGCGGCGCCTTCTTCCGCAGTGCAGCTATGGCGGACTTCTCCTCTCCGATGGTGCACCTCGGCTATGGCGCTTAACCGGCGCGCGTCTCCTTCCTGCTGGCAACGGCCATGGCGCGTGGAATAGCGGGAACCAGCTCTGATACCAATGCAATCAGACTCGCTTTGTTCTTCACTTCACATACATGCAATCAGATAGCAACTCACACTGGCGCCAAGCGCCCACTCAAAGCTCAGAGATATGGAAGCCATGAACACAATTCAGCTGCAAACTCGCTTCATCAGGCTATGGCGCATCAGCGCCTGTACATCCCAACTCTCGTCACTGTGTTCAATACCACTGTTCGCACATACGCAACTCTGGATCACCCTGGATATCCCACACGCTTCCCTGTATTATACACACACACACCCTAAAGCCTATCTTCAACCTGCAGAGGCTATGGCCGCTCAACTACTACTGACTATGGCCACGCTATCTTCCTTCAGCCCACTTCAACTTCTGGCGACCTGCAGACCACCTCGCACAATACGCGGTGGCAGCGCTTCCGCATGGCTAACGCAGGGAATGCATGAATGGCTGGGCGCTGCCTCTTGATTTATACTTCTGTAAGTCGTTGGTCTGCCCTTTTCCACCGGGCCCATGGTGCACACAGTCCCTCGTGGTACTTGATAACTGTGCAAAGTGAGACTGGGACTGGGTACCGCTGACTAAGCGAAGTTGGACTCACCACTTGCCCACTTGCCTCTGACCAAGATGAGAAATTCTCGAAAGGCCACTTCCGGACCTACCGGAAGTTTCCGGACTTGGCCTTTCAGGACTGTAGTAGCTAAGACCTTGCCCTTTCAGGACTGTAGCAGCTACAACCTTGACCTTTCAGAACTACAACAACTACGGCCCCTATGCAGGCGTGACCCCTATACCCTACAACTACTCAGACTTACGACAGACAACTGCAACTACTAACACACAGGTCACGGGTTCAAAAACTCACAGGGTCGACTTGATGCTGTACACAGGTAAGGTAAGGTAAGGTGAGGTCTGTGGATCGAACTCTGGGATCTGCATCTGTGTCTGCAAAAAGGTGAAAACCGTTTCACTTGGAAGGTACAGCGTCATCAACTTACACTCTTGTGAACTGGTGGTTTAAACCATTGGGCTGTTTTGTTCCAAGGTGGCCGACAACGTGCCGCATCCTTTGGGCCTCAGCCGACCGGACTGAAATCCCTGCTGGTGCCAGGCCTGAAAAAAAATAAAGTGCGCCTGTGCTGGTTTGTATTTTATTGGCGATCCGGCAGGAATCCTCATCGAGAAAAGGAATTTCCGAGTAACTGGTGGCTTAACTGTAGTTGTCTCCTCTCAGCCTTGTGCTCGGTTGACTCTCACATACTGTCTCTGAAACATACGGGTCTCTGTGAATGATATCGTCTGGTGACTCGAAAGGTGAAACGCATTGGTATGCGTATGACACGTTTTTGTTGTAATATCTGCAGGATATGCATCATGTTCGTCTCTTCCTTCTGCCTTCTCTGGGCTCCTTCCTACCAGGTGTGGGTGTATCCGCTCTGCCCCAAGCGAAGCCGTCATGGGTCCGACTTGTTGTTTGGAAATCTACGCTGTTTGCCTGCCCGGCCAGGCACAGCCGACAAGGCACGCCCGTCTATGCGGGAGGGGGGAAACGTGTCCGGGCCCAGAATGATGGAAGAACCCAAGACAAAGAACTCCTGACTTCAGGCCCGGATTGTGTGCAGACTGAGCAGTCAGAGAATCATGCCTTATCTTCCAAGCAGGTGATGGGTCACCTGGGGGGTCTGGGGGGTAGAGAGTTGCCATAAACAGGGTTTGAAGGTGAGCAAACTTCAAACGCTATATCTATATCTATATCATCGTGAAATTTCGTGAGGACTTTCAAGATGACCCTTGGTAGGAAGCTGTTTGCAATGCAATTGTACACAACGGGTTTTATCTCCGGTTTTTTGTTTATTCTTTTACAAATAATTTTAATATTTTGCTGTGGGACTGCCCAGACCCCACCCGAGTGGGTAGCCAAGCAGCCAGAGCCAGCCGGGGCCGCCTGGATAACAATAAAGTCGTAAAATATACCATTCGAATACAACACGGTGTTGAACGACGTTCATATTCTGTTCAAATTCCCGTCCTTCGTGCTCGGACGAAGACTGTTCTCTGATATCCACCTTTGCGCCCGGCTCATGTTTATGTCCTGCGGGATTTGGACTCTTGATCTGTTGTTAACGGCCACGTGTGTAGTAGTGTGTACCATTCACCCACCAAGCGCAGGTGCACTGGGGTAGAGTATTCTGGCATTGCCAAGGGGCAATAGCTCTGCAGTTCAGTCCTCGTGGGCCTTCTTGGGGGCTGTACCGAATGGGGGGGTGTAAGAGACATTTTTGGGGAGCCTCGTAAGCTGGGTGACCACTGACAAGCCTTTGAAAAATCAGGGCTGGAAGGTTGCACTTTTAGGCCCTGAAATCATGTCTGAGCTGTCTCTATGGGATGCTGTGTATTTTAGGGTGATTTTGGGCCGGGGGGGGAAAAGGGGGGGAAGGGTGGAGAAAAATCAGTAGGCTCTGGAAACAACTGAGTAGGTGAAACAAAGGGCCTTGCTCCACAGCAGAACAGTCTTAAGTTTAGCTGGAGCTGGCAAGGGTCCCAATAGATTTAAAATCCTGGATCAATCTGAATGTATCTGGGACATTATCGGGTCCAGGTGCATGCAGAATGTTGTGTAGTGGAGCGAGGCCCTTTGTTCTTTACGATAAGGAGTGGGACCATAAAAGACAAAAGAGAGAATATGGATTCTGGGAATCTATAGGCTCCTACCTTCTTCCCCCGAAAACAACGTACGGTCATTATAGCTGTATTTGAGGCATCTTTCAGTCTAGATACGGCTATAATGACTGTACGTTGTATTCGGGGGAAGAAGGTAGGGTCATTTTGCTATTTTTTCCAAGGACTCAGTCTGCACAGTAGGACGATCTCCAGATTGTTCATTGCGGGGCTTCTCAGCGATAACGGAGAGCACAGTTTATGCATCTTTGACTTTTTTCTTTTTTTTGTTTTATTCACGTCTCCAACTGTCTTGCCAGATTTGTTTTTCTCGACTTGTTGGGGAAAGCGGAACTGGACAGACGCTCCCCAAATAGAAAGTGTGCATTAGCCAGAATGCCACAGTACAATTTTTTTTCGTTGACTTACGATATTTTGGGCAGGGTAGCATGTCAACTGGCGGCTGACTCCGACCACAGACCGATCCATAGCCAACCAATCGGCAGCGGCCCATCACCTGAGGTTTTGAAGAAAAGGAAGGTGGGGCCGTCCTGCGCAGGTCGTGGACACCTGGAAAAAGCTATGGTAACAATGTTTCCGGGTGTGCAGGTATTTGTTGGGTGGTTGGGGGACCGGGGGGTGGGGTGTGTGTATTGGAAAAGTGGGTTCAGACAGGGAATGTCTCTTGTCAATCAGGCTTCATGAGGGGGTAGGGGATTTAAAGGTGACCCTATTCACCGTGCAGATCTTGATTCTCCGAAAATTTCTCCATTGGGTGTGTGTATTAGAAAACCAATAAGGGAGAGTGGGTTCAGACACGGAATGTCTATTGTTGATCCGGCTTCATGAGGGGGTAGCCCAGGTAGGCGGGGTAGGGGATAAAAAGGTGACCCTATTCACCGTTTACGGCGTTTAGATCTTGAT